ATAAACATTAAAATAAAAGTCAGGGGTGCCTGGGTGGCTCAGTCAATTGAGCATCCAACTTCGGCTCAGGGCATGATCTCGCGGTTTGTGAGTTCCAGCTCTGCATTGGGCTCTGTGCTGACAGCTCAGAGCCTGGAGCCTGCTTTGGATTCTGCATCTCCCTCTCTTTCTGTTTCTCCCCTGCTCGTGTGCTCTCTCTCTCTCTCTCCCTCTCTCTCAAAAACAAAGATTAAGAAAAAAAATTGAAAGTCCCGTGTGAGTCGAGGCGCGATCTCGCCTTTTGGTGGCTCTCTGGCTTCCGCCGTATGTGCTTGAGGTCCTAGCTTAGGGGAGTGAAACATGCGAGGTGTGTTGCTCAAGTTTCTCATACTGGAAGGAGAGACTTCCTAGCTTTTCGGACATACCGTTTCCCTTTTGAGCAGGCCGTTTTGCAAGCAGCGCTAGCTAGCTGACCGAGCGCTTCAGTGTGTCCGGTGAAAAGGCCTTTCAGTGTTGCAATGCAGAGAGACAGGCTTGCCTCACTTGGCCTCTTAGCATCCTTCTGCCAGTGACGGCCCATTCCCGTGGGCTCTCTCGAGTCTGGGCTGGGGTCACAGACGGTGGAAACAGCCCCAGAAGCAGAGGTCTGTGCTGCTGAAGGCCGTTCGTGCTGTGGTCCTGCGTGGTCGTCAGCGTTAGGAATTTTTTTCTTTTAATTTAAAAATCTTTAATTTTAAATTTTAATTTAAAAATTGTTTTAAGTTTTATTCTGAGAGAGAGACAGAGAGAGGGAGCAGGCGAGGAGCAGAGAGAGAGAGAAAGAGAATCCCAAGCAGGCTCCACGCTGTCAGCACAGAGCCAGATGCGCGGGGCTGGAACTCACAAACCACAAGATCTGGACCTGAGCCAAAACCGAGTCGCATGCTTATGGGACCGAGCCCCCCCAGGCGCCCCATCACTAGGCCTTTCTAACAAAAGCCTCTTAGATCTGGCCAGCCAATCCCTGTTTCCGTTTAGGCAGAAATAAAGCTCGCAGTGTCCTCCTGGAAACTTTCAGCTAGGAAGGGTGGGCCTTTCACTGTCATGCTGCCCCTTGACCTCTCCCACTGTCTCTGGAGGAGGTGGGTGCGTTTAGCTGAATGAGCTGAAGTCCGGAGGCGGAGGCCTCAAGCACACCGTGGGGCGGTGTTTGGACTTTGTTTGTTTTTACTCCTAAGAATGCACGGGAGTTTCCAGAACCCGCTGTGCAGGCTTGGTGACGCAGGGCTTCACTCTTCTCTGCTTGTATAAAGACAAATAAATAGCTTGAGGGCACCTCGCCTTCTGCTGGCCCAGATGGGAGATAAAGGTGCTGTTCTAGAAGGTCATGGGTTTCTGTCTGCTCTAGAGCAGGAGCATGGCCACTTTCTGCCCCTAGAGGGCCAGGTTGAGTTGACCGGGGTTGTGATGGGGGCATCAGAATTATCCTAAGCGCTCCCCACCTGCACGACTCCAGTGCGAATCCGGGCTTGACCGACCCCAGCCTCGGTTCTCAGCCTGGTTGTGTGTTGGTAACACCGGGAGGTTCTAATCTGGGCCCCCCTCCCCGCAGGCTCCACGGGAAAGGTGGGGAGGTCTGTATGCCAGGAATTTTAGTGCGATTCTAATATGCAGCCGGGTTTGCGAACGGCTGTTTTAGATTTG